ACTAGAAGTCTCTGGGGGCTAGTTCCAGAACAAGCAGTGAAACAAAACCAATTACATTTCAGAATGATGGGCTAAGGGATATGGCTCGAAGGAAAGCTCATTTCATAAATATGAGACCTTAGAACAGGTCCCCTGAACCCACATAACGATTGGGGTGAGATTACACAAGCTTATTAGGTCCAGCACTGGTGTTGGGGGACCAGAGAAAGAACAATGTTGGGTTCACTGGTTAGACAACCTAGATGTAAAGGGTAAAGCTGCAGGGCAGAAACTGATAGATCAGAGCCTTGAGGTTCACCTCTGAACTCTAAGGTATATGCATAGGCATTCATGCCTGTGGGGGCAAGGGGGGCCTAAATAGTTATGAAGTTCCTTGAATAATAAAAACTAAGAATGATGTTAAGATGCAGCTGGGTCAGTCCCATATTTCCATATTGATAATCCTTGAATTCAAGAGGTGGAAGCAGGAGGATAAGAAATTCAAGACCAGCCTTAGTTATACAATGTAAGTCCAGGCTGTGTTATGGAAGACACTGTTTCAAAACACAAGCATCAAAAAAGACGTGACCATGTCAAGGACGTTGTCAAATATCAGACCAAACACCTGAGGCTGGATGTCTCTATTTTCCTTACAAGACAAACCTTTGTACAGGATGTGAAAATCAACAGGTACCTTACCAACACCCTCATTCCATCAAATTTCATCACCCTTCATTGAAACAGTTTGTGTAAGGGTTGTCATCATTCTCTACTCATGTACATAATCAGCCCTTGCATCAGCAGGGAATAGGTCATGTCATATTTATTTGAGTTCCCAATGTACACAAAGGGATAAGAAAGGGGAAGAGATTTCCACAAGGCTAGACAATGTAAGCATTTAAACATGAACATGATAGAGCACAAGGGTTTCACGGTTGTTCCAGTCAAAGCCTGTACTGTCCTCCAAGATAAACAACTGTTACTCTGTTTAAACACTGAGCATAAGAAGCCTAAATACATTATCCATTGTTCCAATCCACGGAAGGAGGTGATATTATTACCAGCTAGCAATTGTAATTACAGAACAAATATCTCTATTTAATACTTATATACACATTCTAAGTCTATTCTCCTAACTGTGGAGTGACCCTGGGGAAATAGGGTCACCCCACAGGAAAAATAGACTTAGTCTTGGAAAGAGGCCTGCCTTGACTTCCACACAGGCTTTCTTCACTGCTTTCATCATGGTGTCACTAAAAGGCCATTCCCATCCCCCAATTCCACTGGCAATTTCTAACCAGAGCTGTAACATGTACTGTTCAGAATCACAAGATGTCTTGGAATTCACACTGCAGTGAAATGTTCCCCAAGGCACAGGTGAAGATGGGTGAGTTATGAGTCTGAATCAAATCAAAATACAAAGCCATAATGAATTGATTTTTCTTCCTTCATGATTTTGCTTATCAATCCATCACAACATGAATATTCCCTACAGATTCATAGTCAAACAATGTAGAAATCACTGTCCAGACTCTAGAATCACCAAGCCTTGATCAGACTGTGTACATTCTGCTGTATTACTTAAAGAATACCTAGGACAACAGCTTAGACAACTCCCTTCCCCATGCAGTAAGACATCACTTTACTTTAATGGAACAAAAGAAATAATCCTTTTCTGGAGTATGAACTCTCCTTAACAGTGGTTATTGAAACTTTCTTGTTAGCAATATGACCACTACACAGTTGATGGCATGAGATGAAAAGCAAGAGTTTTGCTGATCCAACAAATACTTCATGGTGGCAGGAAACATATCCATGTCCTAAACATGCAAGTGAAGGTGCACACACAGAAGCAAACAATATTTTTATTTCATCAAGACTTGAATGAATAAACTGCTAAATGAACCAAGAATGAAATACCATATGGAAAAGACTGAAAGCCCATGGATGAACAAGACATCAAATTTTGATCTTTGATCCTTGCAAAAACTCAGAATCTTTATATTTTACTAAATGTGTGTTCCAGCAAGCATTTATTTAATACCCAACATTTTGCAGGCATTTTGCTAGGTGCTAAATCAAAATGACCATACGTGTTCCCTAAAAGTTAAAAGATGTTTTCCAGCAGTCATACAAGGAGATATAGATTTTAAATTATTCTTTAAAATTGATATGTATGTGAGGTTTTTCCTGTCTGCATGAATGTCTGCACGTCGTGTCTACCTCAGCCAGCAAGGAAACACGACCATGACTCTTCTTCAAGAGGTTTATTCAGGAAACTTATACATCTCTCCGCCCCCCCACCCCCCCAGCAAGCCCTTAAATGTGCGCTCACTGGCCAATCAGCTCATGCCACCTGGTGATCCCGGATAGGCCACAGAAGGAGAAAGTGCACCAGATCCATCAAGCACTTCCAAATAAGGCTTGTTTACAGCTAAGCTCGGACTACCTGGCATCCAGCCAGGCACCATCTTGGGGCTGTGGCTTCCCACATCTGCATGCTTGAGGCAGTCAAGACCAGAAGAAGGCTTGAGATTCACTATAACTGGACTTATAGAGGATTATGAGGAACAATACGAGTTCTGGGAGTCTAACCTACATCCTTTGGAAGAGCAGCAAGTATTCTTATTCTTAAATTCATCTCTCAAACCAATACAATTAAAATTCTTTTAAGCAATATGAAGAATACCATGAAATATATAACCAGAGAGCTGAATGTAAATGAAGGGTAAAGTTAAAAGTGGTCAGAAAAGACAAAAGGGAACTTTTCATAAGAAAATGTTTGTCTTGAAGTTTGAACAAGGTGTTTGTGTTTTGCTTCTTATCCAGGGAGAACAAAGAAATTTCCAACATGGCTGGGACATTAAGAAGCATGCCAACCAGAGATAAAGCACGAAAAGCAAAAAGAAGTCTAATTCCATTCTAGGGATCCTGAAGAATGGAAAACCGGAGAGAAGTATGATCCTAGCTGCTTTCCATAGAGACTGTTGTGTGGACAGAGCTCTGAAAAAAAAAAAAAAAACAAGACACCGAGAAAACAAGTAGAGGTGATGGCAAGCTAGTATGGATGTGGTAATGTCATCTAAGATGCAATAGTAAAAATGATTGGAAGTATGTGCAAGTTTTGGACATAGAACTTAGGATGTAGGACAAAGACAGAGACAGAATGGTGAGAAAAAATTTCAGATGTTGGCAATTGGTAAAGGAATCATCAAGATGAATAGTAAGGTTTTAGTTTGAGCAATTACTTTGAAATAAAAATGAAACAGTGAGGAATATAAAGAAAGATTATTTAATGGTGCTAAGTGATTTAAATAATAGCACAGAGCATGCTACATTTTATATGCTTGTGGGATGTCCTGAGAAAGGTATCAAATTTTATATCCCCAAATTTTCCCATTCACAAAAATCAGTACCCTTGCAGTGTCCTGCATGCCCTGACTCAGGCCTTTACTGTGTCCTTCACATCATGCCCCACTTTTATCTCTTATTTCCTCAAAGTGGACTGTGATGCTCAATGATGCTGAACACATCAGCTTATTCTGCCTCAGAGCCTCGCCCTGAACTTTCTCTCTGCCTGGGATGGATAGTCATAGCATTGCCCATATTTCAATTCCTTGATGCCACCTAGTCATCAATGCCTTTCCTAGAGACATGCAGCTGCTGTGCTGTGTCGCCATCTTCCATTAATATCTTTCTACTCCTCTCCATAAATTTGTCATAATCTGATGTTATAGTCTTTTACAATTCGTATTGTTTGTCTTCCTCAACATTATGTATGAATGCTCCGTGAAACATAGAGTACCATGTCATTTGATACATCCCAAAAGATAGGTAGTGTTTAACAGTTCTGAAGACTTAGAGAAGGTCTGAGGATTTACTCTGCTGGTTAGCTGAATCATTAGACAACCACCATTTGGTGATGTTGACATGAGCCAGGAACCAAGGTCAGGCAAATGGCTTAATTATTTTGTGACAATATTTGTGTCAACCTCCAGTTTCTCAAAGATGATGTAAGGAGAACCATATGACAGCTAAGGAAAAAGTGTTCTGGGCTGTGAGGAAAGGACAGCAAACTTTAAAGTCCAAGTCGTTTTCAGAGAACAGTAGCTCCACCTTAGTGCCTCTCTGAAATATGTTCTTTATTATTCTAGAATGAAAAAAAAAAACCTTTACCCTTCATGACAAAGGGAGTTGTCACTTCATTTCTCAAAACTGTTTGCTATTAAAACACCCTGGAAAAGATAGTCTGAAACAAAGTCTCTACTCACAAGACAGGCGGAAACATGAAAGAAAATGGAAAGTACTACCATGTACAACAGACATTCACTCAGTACATACCAATAGTGAATGATCAACTCTGAGTGTTGGTTATTACTGTTATGTTCATTTTCAAATGCATAAATTAAAGCTATCAGAAAGTGCACCAATTTTCTAGAGGTAGGCCAATGCACTGGTAAGCAAACACAGCCCCAGGACAGGGAACAAAGGAGACAGGGAGAAGGGGAACTGAGCCCTCTATCTTTTACCCCACCCTACCATCAGCCTATCAAACCTTACTGAATGCACACAGTGGTTAAAGAAAGAAATGAAGAAAAACAAAACATAGGAATGGCAGAGTGGAAGAAAAGGAAGGAATGGAAAATATCTTTGAGCTCTCCACTTTTGCTCCTTCATCCAAAACGACAGAGGAGAGAGGACTTTTGAATTCATCTACAAATAAGAAAGCAAGGGCTCAGGAAGTGGGGGAGGATTTCTCAAAACCTGAGAGGATGTCAGGAATCAAGCTAACTAGCTCTTCCTGGCAGAATTTGGGTCCAGCCTCTCCTCCCCTGTTTCCTACTCAGATAACAATTTTCCCAGCCTACAGGCCTCCCAGAGTCAATCAATAACCAAGGATGCCTATTATACAGCACAGTGGGTGGAGCCTGTGTTACCATCTGTCTATAAGATCACTCTTCAGTTTCTGGAGAGGAGCATAGTGCACAGCTCTCTTGACCTTTGCACACTGATCTGCAATCATGAAGGTGGTGATTATCTTTTTTAGTGCCTTGGCCCTGCTCAGTTTAGCAGGTAGGTATGTTTGCATATTCTCCAAAAATGAGTAAAGAGTTTCCATCTGTTGCTTTACTGAATTAATCTCCTGGAAATTTAGATGTTCTAGCATCAGCTCCCTTGTGTCAATGAGTGGAAATGAAATCAATGGGGTGAGTATCAAAAGGAAGTGTTTCTGGTGTGTATTATAAAAAGAAGTCACTTCTAACATATATGAGAAGAGCATCTCTGGTAAGATGTGCCCAGAGATAGTCATGTCAAAGACAAGTCTGCTGCTTCATTAGGGATGTGGCAGAGCAGAAAGGGTTTCAATCTGAAATACTCTTCTCATGCTACAAATAGTTACTAGACAATGTAAGGTGAACTTACAAAGTCGAAATTCTTATGAACTTGCATAAAATACATAGCAATGACTGCCATTTAGTTCGCACAGCAGTCATATTTTTGAGTGATTAAAAGTTTTATGGTTGATACAGAGGATGTTTAGAAAGAAAACATCCTGTTCCAACAGATGCAGGAATCCTCAAACTTAGCATGAGAAAGTTGGGAAATGGTTCTGGTTGAGATGAGTTTGGCGCTTTTTGTAACTGGCCTGAATGAACACTTTCACCTTCACTGGTGATAGGGCAGAGCTCTTGACTAGAGCCACATCTATGCTAAACTAAGAAGTGGAAGATACTGTTTTAGATAAATATTTATGGAAGAAAGGAGCCCTTTGTTCCACCTCAAGCCTTATAATGAATACAACTAGATGCCTGTAATGAGCCTTTGCTCATCAATCTTTAGACTCATTTACATTCTGGATCTAAAGGGACCCCAGCAACCACATCTTCTCTGATGAGTCCCAGAGATCTTTTTCATTCCCTTGGAGATCACTGACTGAAAATTAAGTTTCAGGAACATTTCTCCTTTGGGGGCTATCAGATTAGATTACCCTCCCTGGTAAACTTGTCTACATTCACAGTTGCCATCTGCTTTTCTTAAAAATATTTTTTGAGAATATAATTACATCATTTCTCCCTTCTCTTTCCTCCTTCCAAACCTTCCCATATACTTACCTTCTTGTTCTCTTTCAAATTCCATTCCCTTTCGTTGTTGTTACATATATGCATCATATGCTTTGATGTGAGCGAGACTTGCTTTTTGAAGAATGGAGCCTTTTCTAAACTATGTAAATACACAAAAAGACAATTTGAACCTCTAGTCATTCCCTGTAATGCACCTGTGGGAAAAAAGCTCTTTGAGAACTGATGGTGAGTTGGCAAAAAGGCCCCATTTTTAACACTATTTACAAAAGAAACTTATTTATATCCCAAGACCTGATGGCTATTTCCCATACTGCCATCCATGCCTAGAGGTACAGATAATTATAATTCACTGACTGTGATGAAAGTCCTATTGGATGCAGAGAGAACACTGATAGACATCCAGAAGTTGTCTGAATAATTAGTGCCTAAATGTTTCAAACTCTCAGTATATAATTTCTACTTTCAAGGAAGTGGATCAAAATTTTCAGAAATGCCAAACTGAAATGCCTAGTAACAGCCAACATTTTATTTAATATTTTGGGGGATCTTAACAGGAAAGTGAAGAAAATCCAACCAGTGTCTTTGAAAGTCTGTAGAAATAAAAGGGGTGGAAAGAGGATATGGAAGCAGAGAAGGCACTATGAAAACTGTATTCTTTGGTACATAAGGACAGATCTGGCTTCTTTATTTGAAATCCTAATTAACATGTTTGATTTATGTTTTCTAGGTAACACTTCAGCTAAATTAGTGGGGAGAAAGGTAAATAAAATTTTATAATTTCTCTTTTCTTATGATGTATTATTATGATGTATTATTTCTTAATTCTGGAATTTCCTGTACAAGCTGTTAGAGAGGTCAAGAAAGGTTCCCAAAGTATTGATCCATGAAGAATGGATAAGTGTCAGCAAAACAGAGCTGTAGTCAATGGCCTGAAATGGAGAGGTGATAGATAAAACACCCAAGAACTGGAAATCAGTGTCCAAGAATCACTGTATGTATGACTTTAACTCAATTCATCACTTTGTGACTCTTCCCTTGAGGAAGAGTGAAATGATAACTTTAGAAGGTAATTATAGGGTAGATCAATGAATGGATAAGTGACAGTTACAACTAAGAGGTGAGACTTTTCCATGGAATAATACATAAAAATAGGACACTGCCCTATTAAAAGTGTTTAATGATAATCATCAGGGAAAACTATTCTGTTAGTTGTTGACCTTACAGAAGCCAGCACACCAGGAAATGTGAGCTTGAGAGTTATCTTCCTCCTCTTACCAAGCCTCCACAGCGTTATGACCTAAGCATCATGACCTGATGTTTGGCTAATTTGCAGATGACGCGACTGAAACCAAGGAAGAAGTTAGCAGACTTATGATGTTTTATAACTAGGAAATGGCCATAACTTGACTTTATATCAGATTTTCTAATTCCACGGAAGGTTGCTTTTATAATTGTTATTATTGTTTTCTTATACAGCATCCAGTGTCATTATCCTAATTGAAAACAATAGATTTTAAAAAATAATATTTTATTATAATATCAAACATTTCTCAAATTGAGAAATGATAGAAAATGACTGTACTTAATTTTATGTTTAGGCGAGTTGCAATGATGCTCTTGTGGGTTGTCCCAGAATTTATGACCCCGTGTGTGGGATGGATGGAATTACTTACTCCAGTGAATGCAACCTGTGCGCTGAAAACAGGTGAGGATAGCATAATCTATAAGTACTTATTTTTGCTTACTTACCATTAGAATCTCACATATGTTATCCTCTTGGAGCCTAGATCAATAAATATAACTTCCTTTATATAAATTTGTAATGACAATATGACTTAATAATGGCTGGGATGATAAAATCCCCAATTTTCTTAGCAATAAGTTCAGTTTTTCAAAAAACCTAAACATACAAAATACCTTTAATCTGAAAAAAGATTCTTAACAATAGCCGACATTGCATTTTCTAATGCTCCTCAAGATTAGCAAATGTGAATTATATAGGTTTTGATGAATAGAAATATATATTTATAACATTTGTATTCATGAGTACGAGATCTGGCCTCAGTGAAGTTTAATTTTCTGATGTGTTTAAGGTTGGGAAAGGAATCAGACTCAGGACACTGGGACAAACATATGTGTCACCATTTTTTCTCTTATGACCCAGCAGTTACCATGTGCTGGTCATCATGGTAATCCCTCCCTGTTTTCCATGTGCTTGAGACAGAAACAAACAACAGCAACAAAACCCACCTCATGGGCATGTGTAAGAGCTTCTTCCAAGTCATGATGATTGAAAGCAAACAGAGTATAAAGCAACCAACCAAAGCAAAGATGACAATATCTTCTAACTAAAAAGGCCAATAAGGGCTTAATTAAAAGAAGGCCATTAAATTGAGGCTCTGAGTTTCAACCAAACAACAGCCATCCCACACGTAACAGGAAACTGGGTTTTCTAGAATTGACTCCATGGTAAAGACTTCAGCTCAGGCTCAAGTGACAAAAAATTGCCTTTATTCCTCTGTATCAATCTCTTCTCTATAATGTAAATTCTCTTCTGGAATGGTTCTAAATGATTTCAGAAATGTCTCAGAGTTTATCCGGGATTGTAGACATTTTAGACCCCAAACACTAGGCATTCAGCTTTATGGTGAGTGTTCTTCCAGTGTATAAAGGGTGCCAGGCATGACAGCACATGCCTGCTACCCCCACACTGCAGCCAAGACAAAAGAAACCTGAGTCCTAAGTCAGTCTTTTCTTCCATCTGTCAGCCTGGGTGACAGGTGGAGGCCCTGGCTCAGGGCTTGGGAGGAACAGGGGAACCTTGTGGAAAGAATCCATGTGAAACCACTTGTTAATTTTCTCATGACCTATGTTGTTGACACTAAGGTCAAGCATCATTATTTCCCTCCACGGGGAGGAGGAAAGCCCCACAACACCCTTGAGACCTGTGAAATCTCCAAGTGTAAGCTCTAAAGACCAAAGGCCTCTATTTAGAGTAAAGCATTTGGAAAATATGAGCAAAATGTTGACCACGCTCTCCTTTGACCTTTCAATATACTGGTTGCGATCTACTCTTTGTATTCTTCCAAATTCGTGTGAATGTAAGAGGCACATTCAGCTGCCTGAAAGTACAACATCTCACTGTGTTCTGAAATAACACTTATGTCTCCAGACAAATTTGTCTTCCTCAAATAGAAGAGGTGATTTACTGTTTCTAAGGTGCCTTTGTTTTGATTGCCCTGAAAGTTACACATATAAACAACAACAATGGACTCAGCTGGCTATATCTATCTATTTGTACACACACACACACACACAAATAATAATAATAATAATAATAGTAGTAGTAGTAGTAGTAGTAATAGTAATAATAATAGTCAAAGAAAAAGAGGCTATCAGTTTGAAAGTGAACAGGTAATGAGGGAATTTAGGAGGGGTTAGAAAAAGAAAAGGGAAAAGGAAAGTGTTGTAATTATATTTCAATTTAAAAAGCAATATTTAAAGTTGCACAAAAATTATCTGTGCAGTAAATATTTCTAGGGCCAGGCTCTGACCCTGACTATTGGGGTTTGAGATGCTCAGAAACCACCAGACAGGCCTTTGGTATGATAGGTCCCATGTTTTTCAGGTGCCTGCCTGTTAAGTCAGGACATTGTATGTCTTCTATGCTTACTCAGGGAAGATGTTAACAATTCTTATCTATAGGAAAACAATGACAGATAGAACTTTCTATGGTGCTAGAAGTGTTTTCTGCCTGTGTTAGCCAACACATAACCACTGGCCATATGTGATACTCATTGACTCTTAAGCTCAGATAGTATACTGAGAAACTGACGCTTTAATATTGTTAAACTTTTAAGTATAAATAACCCAATGTGGCTAATGAGCAGAGTGAACCAAAGTGAACAGCACAAGTGGGGATAACAAGCTTTCCTAAGTGACTTTGAAATTGCCACTATCATAAGTTAATGTTAAAGTGAAGTGACAATGGGTCCACAAAATGTACATGTGAAAATAGATGACTAACACACCCTCTGCAACAACAGAGAAATAGAAAAGTTCTTGCATGCCAGTCTGTTAAAGGAAACAATGATGAGAAAGATAACCCCAGAATTAATCTTGTAACTAAGGAACAATTACAGGATTGAGGGACAACTAGATTTTTTTGAGAGAAACTGGCTTGGTAAAGGTAACATGGGAAGGACAGAGATCATTTTATCTAAAGAGGAAGGCTGTTACTGTGAGACTCGAGTTGGCCTGACAGATTCAAGCCCCCATCTTCTAAGATGAAATGTTAAATAATTAGAAGGCCCTGTTATAGCCTGGGCACCAGCTAAGATTTCCATATGGTCACTAAGTTTTCAGTATCTGCAGTAAAAGAAGCAGGAGTGAATTGGAGATTAATTTCAAGGGTTCCTAGTAACACCCCATTAGGTCAGTGAACAATAATGATAGAATGATAGACACGTTTTCTGTTCTGCTGTAACCTTTGTGAATATAGTAGAAAGCAACAAATATTGAATGAACACATGAACGAATAAGTGAATTAGAGAAAGAAAATGCGGAACTATTTTTCTAAGTTTCATTGCCATTTTCCCACAGTTACTTATTTGTGCCAATAAATTCAAGTTGACCAATATTTATTTTCTTCAATTATTCTACAGGGAACGCCGGGTTCCTGTACTCATTAAAAACTATGGGCCTTGCTGAAAGTCAAGATTTTGTTGTTAAGACTACCATGATGCTTGGAGAGCCTGTCTGTTGAATAAACACATCTGCATACACCTTGTTCTTCCAAAAACTTCCTGCTCAAGGGCTTGGATGATTATCTTGAGGACAGGGGACCGGGGAAAGACCCAGACTAGACTAAACTTCACCAATTAGTTCATTGTTCCTGTAAAATCATCTGTTACTGGTAATGACAATGCATAGTTGAGCATAAGCATGCACAATGAATAAAATTCTGGTCAGGATAAAGAAGGTATTTCATGAAATGGAGTGATCTGGTAAGGAGAGAGGGGGTTATCTATACAAGGAACTGAGTGTAAGCATTTTGTGTAGCTCACATTGCTTCTACCCAAGGAATTGCTTCTTTGTGAGCCATTGTAACTTTGCAAGGTTACTCTTGTCCTGTGAGTAAACTTAGAAGAAAAAAAATTAAAGTCACTTGACTTAGCACTACATCAAGCAAGCTGAAGAGGTGCACTTTTAGGTCAGTGCTCCTGCCTTGAACCACAGTCACCTCATATGGATTATGCCTTAACTTTCTTCAATGGAGAGTCTAGATAATATCCCTTTATTTTAAGATCTCCTGTGTCTACATTCAATAATAATGAATAAAATAGAAACAATGAAATATCCTCAAGGTGGGGGATATATACACCTACTTAACAAAAATAAAAGTAGAAGCAGTTTGAGATTCTAAGTTTATAAAAAATTAGTCTAAGATAGAGAAGTAGAAGAGAGCTAACACAGGATGGGCTATGTTGAGATATATATCTGATCACTAGAGGGTGCTATAGTCTGGCAACTAACTAAGCTGAAACAGCCTGACAGCTCTCACTAAATACCTTGCTAACTCAAGTTATGGAAGAAAGATGGCTTCCAGCATCCTGTCTGTGATACTAGAGGACATTTGAAGGGCACCAAACATTAAAGAAGTCTGTGATGGTAAAATTAATTTAATCATTGAATGTTCTAAATTGCCATGTCTAGATAGACCGGTCTGTAAGTCCACAAGGAAAAATTTGATTTGTGTTTTTTTAAATATATATAATTATAAATTAACTCAAGTCATATATCTTTGATGGCTCTGCTTCCTGGGCCCATCAGAAGGCACATGGATTCTATGTCCATGTCTGGTGGTCATACTTCAAAAGAGTTGATTCATGAACCAGGACATATTTTAAAAAGAGAGACTGAGAACATTGATATGAATTTAAAACTTCAACCCATGAAGAGCAATTCAAATAAGGAAAATTGGCTGGAAAGAAAACCTCTTAGAACTGGAAGGGTCTTTTCAAACAATTCAAGGGTTAAGAATATGGACCAGGTCAGGTCTAAACAAGACACCTATATCACCCCCTCCAGGGCTCAGGGAACATTGGAGGAAGAAGGGGTAGAAATAATGTAAGAGCCAGAGAAAAAGGAGTTGTGTGAAGCACTTTCTGTGGTTACCTATACAAGGCCTGTACAAAGTTGCATCCGTCAACTCTCCATTATGAATGGGGAAGGGGCTCATGAGGCCCCATCCAGCTCTAAGAAGTTCTTAACAGCTAATGCGTGTGAGAGGAAGGTCAACCATACTCATTAAACTTAATAGGTGATAAAAATAAATATAACAGAGGTGTTTTAGTATCAATGTTTTAAAAATATAAGGTACTTTTTAATTCTCTGAGAACATCCTGTATACAGTATATTTTGACCATATTCATACATCCCCAGCCACTCCTTTCTGAGTTCCCCTTCCCTCAGTGTCCCTTTCCAACATTGTGTATTTTTTGTTTTAAGAACTCAGAGTCCAATTAGTGCTGCTTATATACCTACAAATGTGGCACCACCCACTGGTACTGTCAACCTATCAAAGACCACCCCTGAAGAAAATATACAACACACACACACACACCAAAAAAAAAAAAAAAAAAAAAAAAAAAAAAAAAAAACCTAGACCCAAACTTTATACAAAAAGATATTCTGGAGCTGTGGAGCTTCTCACTGGATTTTACACTTCTACTATTGAATATATTTTATGTACTTATTCACTACCAAACCTGAATAATTCATGCCTGAATTAGAAATAAAAAAACTATAACTTTAAAATTTCTTTCATAACTTATGCCTGTTACCTGTATTCAGCCTTTCCTCATCTTGTTCTCTTTTCTACATGTTGTACTGTACCCACATGTATATTTATTAACATATTTCCATATATTACTGGTTGGGTTCCTCATATGAGAAAGAATATGTAGGATTTTTTTCTTTCTAAGATTGCTTGTCCTCCTTAATATTATACATTCAAAATCATCCATCTTCCTGCAAATTTTATAATTTAATTTTAGCTTATACTCTACATATGTGTTTATATATATGTATATATATATATATCCAAAATACATGTAATATATATCACATTTTTACTATTAACTTATCTGTTGAAGGACAACTAGGCAAATTCCAATGATTTGCTATAGTAAATAAAGCAACAATAAATACACAGTACAAATATCTCTATGGTAGGAGATGGGGTTCTTTGGGTATATGCCCAGGAGTGAAATAGCTGAGTCATGCTGTATTTCTATTTTTAATTTTTGACAAATCTCTGAAATTATGTCTATAATGGCTATATTAATTGGCACTTCATCAACAGTGAATAAGGATTCTTTCTCACCACATCATCTCTAACATTAGTTACCACACATGTTGATGTTAGCTCTCTGACTGGGTAGTATCTCAAAGTAGTTTGAACTCGCACTTCTCGAATGACTATGAGTATTAAACATAAGTTCATTGTTGGCCATTGTACTTCCATTTTAGAAAACTATCATTTAATTCACTCTTATGCAAGTGAAGCCTGATTCTTTGCTTTACTGCACAAAGAATTTCAAAAAGATTCAGTACAAGGCGGTTAACTAAAAGATATTTTAATGTAGATTTAATCATAAGGGTTAAAAGGAAGTACTAGGAAAAAAGTTAGAAGCACATAAGAGCATGAACATATACTTCTCAAAGGGGGTAGGGAGGGGCACAATTAATTGTCTGTACAAGGATCATTCAGGGGACTTTAGTAGTTTTTAATCTAGTTATCTTCAAAGAGTGGCTTAGGAACTAAAGTGAGACTACAAAGAAATTCCAGATATGCACCCAGAAACAAGGTTATCCTCAGTGTAAACAAAGTTAATAGTCTAGTTTTTGAGGTTCCCAGAAAATATCCTGGGCAGGAATGAGGCTATTCCTTGAGGTCAGATGTGCTCTAGCTTTTACCCTGATTTATTACTGTTTCAACATAAATATTTTCTCTGTATTGAAATTCTTCACATCATTTGTTGATTGCGTGGGAATTTTTTGATTCTCACGCAATTAAAGGATTCAACTAAACTTTGCAATGAGGAGCTCCTTTCCTTCCCATGTCCTCATAAAGTTCCCTGTCTTTTTGTCCTTACCATAGTCAACTCCCAAAAGCAAAACAGGGGTTTTGTAAAGAGAACTAGATACATTGGGCTTAATACAATGATTTAATTTTTACTTGAGGACAACATAAGTGGTAGTTTGAATGAGAATGGCTCCCAAAGGCTCATAGATTTGAATATTTGGTTACCAGAGAGGGACTAACACTATTTGAAATGATTAGGGTGTTTAGCCTTCTTGGAGGAAAATGTGTCACTGGTGGGTGGGCTTTGAGGCTTTAAAAAGTGCATCCCAAGCCCAGAGTCTTCTTCTTCCTGTTCCTGCAGATCTGCATGTAAAGTCCTCAGCTATTTCTCCAGCACCATGTCTGCCCACATGCTGCCATACTATCTGTCATGATGATAATGGACTAAACCTCTGAAACTGTAAGCAAGCCCCAATTTAATGCTTTCCCTTGAATAGTTACCATGGTCATGATGTCTCTTTGCAGCAATAGAACACTGACCAAAACAACAAACTATGAGAACAACTAGGAAGCACTCAGTGTGATTATTTGGAATTAAATGAGAAAGTAATACATTCCAATTTTGCTCTAAGACTTCCTCATATCAGAATCAGGGGCATTAGATCTCCCTCATCATTCTTGGTTCTGTTGCAGGATATTTAATTGCACTGTGACACTTGGAGACTGTTAGTAAACTTAAATCTTGAATCAAACAGTGGAGCCCATGACTAGACGCCTGGAATTAGCCATAGCTATAGAGATTTTGGAAGACTGAGACAGAGGAACAAAAGAGAGAAAGGGAGGCACCTGAAGTGATTGGCAGCCTTTTCAATCTGGGAAGGTGGAGAGCGGGCTTGGCTAGTTATTCCTCTGCTGCTTTCTTAATGTACCAGGTTTGTACCCCAATATCTGACTCCCAGGGTTTTATTAATAATAGAGTAGTAATGATTTCACTGTACTTTTCACCTTCTCTCTTCATCATGCAAGCTGAGCTACCCTAGGAGCTCTGAAGGAAAATGACCACAAATCACTGTGAGGACAGAGGCACAAGCTGCTGTTGAGCCAGGTGTCCTGCGTTCACTTGCTCACTAGCTCATTAATCCAATCAACAACTGCATGCTGGTCATCTGCTGAGTGCCAAATGCCATTTGTTATTCTAATCAATGGGGATCCAGTATTCAGTGCATAAGATAGGGAGGCCATCCCTCTTGGAATTCACACTCAAGTACTCAAGTAGATAGAAGGGGAGCATTCATCATCAAAAGAAAGTAAGCACACAGATATTTTCAAATAATGTTAAGAAATACAGAGGAAGGAAATTTGGTGATGTAATAGAAGTGATGATCAGGCACAGGAAAGGGGTTGTGGTAGATTAAATATAGACAAAGACTATTATAGCAACTCCCAGAAAGAGATAGAACTTGTTTCTTACCCTACATCTTGGCTAACTTTGTGACAGACTTTTACCAAAAAAAAAAAAAATGTAGCTGAACCTGAACAAGGGGGTGCTCATGAACCCCAGACTGATAGCTGGGAACCCAGCATTGGACTGATTCAGCCCCCCTGAATGTGGGTCTCAGAAGGCCTGCGTAGTCTAAGGGAACTCTGAGAGTGGAACCAGGATGTATCCCTTGTTCATGAAAGGACTTTGGGAGC